GTTTGTTTCTCTTTCTGAGTTTCTTCATGAAATAAAGTTCTTTATTTAAAAAAAAAAAAAAAATATATATATATATATATATATATATATATATGAAGTTTATCTTTAAAGACAATAAATATCAGCTCAGTTGAATTTGGATAAATTTTTTTGCTTCACTTTTTTGTGCTTAATTTTTATTTTTACAGACTTTTACAATAAGTGATGAAGGCATTAAGATGACTTTTCACACCTCATTATTTTTGGTCACTGGCATCTCTTCTTGCAGCTTTTTAACCACAAAGAAAAGCTGGGTTTCACTTTTAATCATATTTCACAGTAACCATTAGGTGGGTACAGATGAGTGGCATACTCTGACTTGCTCTTAAGTGGCAAAGAAAATTGTGGCTTCATGTCTGACATGAGCTGCCGCCATTAACGGAGCAGTATTACATGTTTTCCAGCCACAGTCAAGTAGTTATGTCACCTCCAGTTATAAAATATTCTGCATATAAACTGATGCAACTGATGACCGTGGAGGTGGAAGGAGATCGGATACGTAGAGAAGTTTTTTTATACGTATAAGAAAAAGGTTTTGTCAGCTCTAGTCACTTTTATTTGACAGCGGTCAGACAGAAAAGCGGGTTGTGAGAGAGGGAGAAGACGTGGCAAAGTCATTGGGCCGGGACTCGAACCCGCAAGGACTAAGGCGCTTCACCTCACTGCTGATATGTAGAGGTTTGGTAGAAAGATCCAGAGTTGGTGTGGAAACCAAAATAAGGTGACTTAAAACTGGGAGGCTTCTGAAAGCACAACGTCTGAACTGGAGCAAGTGGAAAAGGACAGCTCTTTTACAAAAACAAGGTAGAAGGGCTTGAAGCAAAACGACACATGGGTTTGACTCTACTAGAGAGACTGATCAGACAGAAGGACAAGTCGTCTCAAAGCTCCTGAAATCCTCAGCAGACCATGAGATGATTGTGGGCAGGTGTGGAGTCTCCAATCCTTCAGCAGAATCTCTGGCCAAGGAAAGATCCACACACCAGAATGTATATTATATATATATATATATATATATATATATATATAAATACAACATAATTAGAAATATCAATGGGGGAGCTGCAGAGGGTTTGGATGTGCTTCTTTAGATGAACAAAATCATTTACTTTCTTGTCAACTTGCTGAGGTTTTAAGAAAACATCTTCCTTACAGAAACATGTCTGCACCAGGGTCTGTGACCACAGCAGTCAGCAACGCCTCAGTTTCCAACCAGAACATGACCAATCCAGCCCGTGAGAGATCAACCGATCTCATCTTCATCCTAGTCTACAGTGTCCTCTTTCTGGTGAGCGCCTTGTCTTCTGACTGTCTTCAAAGATACAGTCCAGTCCAAACCAGAGTTTCTAACGTTTTTCTCCCCAGGTGGGCTTGGTACTCAACAGCTTCACCTTGTGGTTTCACTGCTGCCAACCTCAAAGAAACGCCTCTAAAAGCTTGATGATCTACCTGAAGAACTTGACAGCAGCCGACTTCCTTCTCTGCCTCAGCCTGCCACTTCGCATCATCCACTACGCAACCAAACCTGCCACCATCCACCTGCTCTACTGCAGCTTTGGAGCCTCCATACTGTTCCTCAACATGTACGCCAGCATCCTGTTCATGGGCTACATCGCTTTGAACAGGTACTAAAGTTTCTACTGCAGACCAGATGACTGCTGCACCTCTGTGTTCTTGCTTAAATACTTAGATATTTGGGGTGTTTAGAGTAGCTTTAGTTCATTGTGAAACTGGTGATTTATTTTAAAAAGAACCTCTTTAGCGCCCCTCTCTGTCTCTAGGTATTTTAAGGTGGTCCGGCCTTTTGGAGCCTTCTTCCTGCTGACTAAACGAGCTGCATACATCACCTCCATGACCACATGGGTCTTTCTCCTGACTCCGATGACAGCGTACTCCACTGTGCTGCTAAAAACCCTGAAATCTAACGGGTCTGAAGACATCTGTGAGGACCTCCAGAGTGATTCCGTCAAGCTGATCTATAGAACTCTTCACATCGGTGCTTCTGCCATCTTTCTGTTGGTCTTCTTCTCAATGCTTTTCAGTTACTACAGTGCCTCTCGCAGGGTGTTGCAGGCTCAGCAGAGACAGTCCACCTCCTTCAGCTCCAAGAAGCTTCAGAAGTCTAGGAGGAAAATGTTGGTTCTCATCTGCATCTTCTGCATTTGCTTCATTCCTTACCACCTGATCCGACTCCTGTATACGTTTCTGCAGCAGCTGGGCTCCTCGGACCGGGTGTTTTACTACCTCATGGAGTTCACCACCATTGTTTCAGTTCTTAATGTCTGCCTGGATCCGCTTGTTTACTTCGTCTTCTGCAAGGATTTTCGGGTTCATCTGAGGCTGAGCCTCAGGAGAGTCAGAATGGAGAATGAGGCCAGGAGGAGCAACGAGGAGCAGCTGAGGAGCATTAACCTTAGCCATAACGGGACCCTCAGCACATCATCACGGTCAACTGGTGAGGTTTAGCGTGTTAAAGATCAGAGGGTTCAGACTCAGAAAACTGATGGAAAACTCATTAAACTGTGCAATTTGTAGTCCTGAAAATGACCAAAACTGAAGCTTATTATGTTTTTGTTTATATGTAACATTGTTTTTCTTAGTTTGTTTTCAACCTTGTAATTAAAGGAATTAGAATCTTCCTGTTCACTTTTCAGCTGTCTTTAGCTGATCTTTAGTCCAGTCTTCAGTTTTTCTTTTCCTCCTTCACTTCCTTGGAGTCTTCCTTCTCCGAGACCAAACCTACAGCTTTCAGTAGCCTGAGGATGCATTCAGACAGGAATGCATCTACAGGAAGCAGCTGACTGTCTTTAAGGAGGAATCTCAGGCCCACTTGTTAAAAAAAACTATCCCAGGTTGATGAAAACTGCAAAGCAGACCGTACCAAGATTTATATTTTTCCCATTATGGAGACAATTCTTGAGAAGTTGTTAAGAAATCTATCCATCCATCCTCACTGATCCAGACTATGATAGCAACAGGCCCAGGAGGAAACTTCGGACATCCCTCTCCCCAGTGACATCCTCCAGCTCAATTTGGGGGATTCCAAGGCATCCCCAGGCCAAACAGGATATACAATACCTGCAAGAAAGTTTTTTCTCCTGGCGTCTCCTCTGAGTGGGGCTTACCTATACAACTTCCAAAAGGAGACACCATGGAGCCATCCTGAACTGACTCAATGTGAGAGGCAGCACATGACAGAGCTCCTCACTTTTTCTCTAATGCCTACTTCACAGGACAAGATTTTTATACCGATTTTTGGAAGGATTTTCTCCTTCCAACAATCTTAAATATGCCCTGATTATCGGGATGGCTCTGAACATATTTTTCTTAAGATTTTCCTGCCATTTGTGGAATGTAAAGAGTAATCTGATCCGACCTGAAATGGAGGATATTGAACATGTTGGATTGTCTTGGCCCAGATGGTATTCCACAAGGACAAATGAGAACACAGCCGGTTGAATGTGACAGCCAATCAGAAGGCGAGGTGATAGAAACATGGAGGGGAATCCTAACTACACCAAAGACAAAACAACTGCCAGAATATCTGGTGGATGTTGGAGACATCCACCAGACTCTTGAGTCCCAAAACCTCACTCAAGAGGTTTTGGGAGATTTCCCGTTTGACATCTGAATGTTGGTGAGTGAAATCAGTTTGTGTGGTATGTTATTCCTGCTGTGTGACTTCACACCACACAATGTAGGATCAGTCATGTTATACCAACAATTTTTATCATGAGCCCAGCCAGCATGCCTAGGTGGGACCCATGTGGGGACAAGGAGGGCAGACTATATGGGTCCCATATGGGTTTGTCCGCGGGTTCCACGATGGCCCCACATGGGTTTGCCCATGTAGGGCCACAGCCCACATGGGCAAACCCATGTGGGGCCATCATGGAACCCGCGGACAAACCCATATGGGACCCATATAGTCTGCCCTCCTTTTCCCCACATGGGGCCCACCTAGGCATGCTGGCTGGGAGGTCTCTAAGATTTTGAAAATCACCTGACAATTATAAAACTTTGCTCAGTCATATGGCTCAGAAGAAATACTCTCAGAATCAAATCACTCTCAGAAAAGCATTTTAAATATGAAACTGCACAGTTATATACAAGAGAAACTACAAAATAAAATGTAAGCACTTTGGTTCCCAAAACAAAATTAAGTTGGACGCAGGTTTTGTCTCTGGCTTTTCCAGTTTTCAGTGCATCTAAAATAAATGATAGATGTATTGCCTGCAACTCTAGGCTGAACCACTTAAAAGGGATGTTTATTTCTGGAAAGTAAAGCTTAAAATGATGTTTGTAAGAGGTGCTATGAACAATGTCTATGGGTGAGGTCATGTTGAAATCCAAGCTTATTAACT